AAGTCAGGGGATCTTCAAAGTTAGTAGAATTAATCCTCTTGGGACTACAGATAGCTGTGCCATCTTTGATGGCAATCCTTTCAACCCGTTCTCACTCCCAAGTCTTCACATATGGACGCATGGTCAAGACCCGTTGGCGTGAGTTTGTAACGCACTGGGAAGCCCCTTTGTGTCATGGTTCAACGCACTCGGGGAAGCCCTGTAGCGTCATTATGAACGCTAAAAGCCAGTGCAGGATATAAAAAAAACACAAAAGTCAGAGTAAGGAGGGGATGAGTGAGCCAGAAACCAGACTTTCGCCCAGAAGACCGGTCGGTGTTCGTTTCCCATGAAACAAAAAGTCAACATTGATTTTTTTTAGTGAAGTAAAATTAATTTGTGTTTTGTAACACTAATCATGACCTTTCCCTAAACCTAACCAAATTGTGACTTTTCGCAACATTAACCACTAGTTTTATTTTGAAAGTCTAACCAGATGTTGCACATTTACTATTGCTAACTTGACCGTTGACCTACGCGTCCAGAATGATGCTAAAGGGTACCCACGGTATTAAAAAGCGATGCCGAGGGGTCTTGATCAAATGTCCATATGTGACGAGTTGGGAATGAGAATGTGTTGGTCCTTCCAATAGATGTCGAGATATTTCACTAAAAATTGTCAGTCTCGTTGTGGCACTATAGGAAAAGTCAGGGATCTCCAAAGCCAGAGGGATTCATCCTCTGGGGAACGTGAATGTCGGTGCAAATCTTTATGGTATTCCATGCTGTATGTTGTTGAAACATTTCAGTCTGGACCAAAGTGATGTACCGACAAACACTGCCATCCCTGGAGCCATGCCGCTAGCGTGGCTAAAAATAGATGAAACAAATCTGTGATTCTTTGACTTTTCTACATTTACATCCGCTCAAAAACAGACACATCATCAACAGAACCCCTACAGTTAGAAAAGGCAGAGCAGCTAAAGATGCAGATGTTCTCTCTGTGTTGCTGCGTCTCGTCCTCTTTCAACTCCGTTTCAATCAAATATGCTTTGTTGGCAGGAAAGTTAAGAACAATGCTGCCGAAGCATCAAAGTTAAGCGTCTTTCTCGCTATTACTCTGTCTCTCTACTTTATTCCTTCCCTTGTCGTTTCCTCTCTCTCTCTCTTTCAAATTTCACCTCCCTGTCCTGAGGCATCAACGGAAGTTTTCATTTAGAGACACACAGTTGTATAATCCTGCAGCTACAGCATCGAGCAGCGGGTGATAATTTACAGTTGCCGGCAGCCCTAAAATTCCTTTGCATTGCTGTCAGTTTCGTGTCAGCATACTGCTCCAGCACGGCTGTTCAGAGCGGAGAGGAAGGTGGCTGAGCTCATCAATATCCTTATATATCACAGGTTTCTTTAATATCTGTGAGCACACTTAAACACTTTATTTCTCATTCTGCTAATGTAGTACGTGAGATTGAATGTGGGCTGACTACGCTGTATCACAGGGCAACATATGGTTAAATACACTACTTCTGTGTAGCGCTCTCACTCTCAGTTTATCTAGCCAGATTTTGGATTCATACAGACAACAGAGAAGTAGATTATGCAGCAGGAATGTTTTGAGGAGCTCGTATAGACGTTTAATACTTTTAAGACATTTAACAGCCAACTTTCAAACCTTCAGGTGTATCTGATCAACTCAAGAAACATTTTTGGTTGGAGTATCTTGACCATATCATCCTTCCATCCCTCCTCAGTTGTGGACGGCAGAGGTGGGATCACATTTAGGATGTGACAGGTTTTGTTCCCACATCATTTATTTCCCCCAAAATCTCTAAGAAAAGAGAAGCCATGCGTATCGTACCGCTATCTCTCACAGATCCATAATTCATGGCATCCTAGAGCGTGGAATAACGTGGATCACTTCATGCACTGGAGCAAAACATTGCCAGGAAACATAAATCAGTATATAAACTAATGTAATTCAGGCAGCATTACGTCTCTGAAACATTAGCCAATGCAAATAAGTTACATATGAGTGTAATTCATAGGAGACAAGTCTGGCTCTAGAGATGGTTTGGCGCCTAAGAAGAACAATTAAGTTAAAAACAATTACAGTAATGCAGCTTGGACAACGGCAGCAGGGCTGAAGACAACAGAGCTGTGCTGCAGGAATGTGACAGCTGATAGCAGGTGAAACATAAAGACGAGGGCTGAGACTCAAATACAGTAAGGGGTAACCAGATAGGACTGTGATCACACACTGTGGGTTTTATGTAACACTGTAGAGTGGGTAGCTGTAATGCGGGAGAGCTGGGATGCCTTCAGTGTCTCGTGGGAGTGGCGTAATTTACATTAGACCTATAAAGCTCTGAGTAAAGTGGTGTGGAGGAAGGAGGAGAGAAGTGATGAAAGGAGGAGGGAGAGAAGGAGAGGGGAGGGTGAAAAGGGATTAACATTTCCAAATAAAAAAAGTCTTTATCATAGCAGTTCTGGCAGCAAAAGAACAAATTGTCCAACAACCACGAGTAGCTCGCTAATTAATATGTTATATCTTCTTTTATTTAATTATAAAAAACATTTTTGTTAAAGTGAATTAGTTATATAAGAATGGAGCATTTAGGAATCAGGTTGTCTCTGCTGGTCACAAATAGCTCTTTAACCTGGAGCCTCCCACAACCTGAAAGAACCCATAAGACCTTGTTTCTCTTCCTTATAACTGGAACATTTAATTAAATTAACATACTCCTCGACACTGTGCAAACCACCTACAGTTCACACAAACAAACGCATACCAAGGCAGCAAGACACACCAGCCTGTTTGAGTTCAATGCACTGGGGAACGCCCTTTGGCGCCATTGTTCAACATTAGAGGTACTACTAAAAAATAACAGAAAAGTCAGAGTGAGGTGGTGGTTGGGGTGGACGGTGGGTCAGAAACAGGGCTGATGCTAAGTAAGTTATGTAGGTAGCGGTACTTTACTTACCTAGTCTAATTTAAGTCACGTCAATAACATAGTTATTTTAACCAAAACCATGGCCAGTAGTTTTGGTGTCTAACAAACTAGAATGTTTACATTAACCAATAATTTTATTTTGAAAGTCAATCTGACGTTAAATATTTATTCTTGCTAACTTGACCGCGGAGCCCTACACAAACAAAAATGATGCTAAAGCAGAGACCACTAATTGGCGGACCGCGGCCCGGTTATGGAACCAGCCGCCGCCCTCTGGACCAATAACCGATCTATTATTGAGAATTAAAACCTCGTGATGGACCATTTCTATTTTAACCCGCGCAGCTTTTCTAGCATTTACTGTAGCCTACTGGTTTAGCAGCCCAGGAAACTCACAGCCCAATTGCACGTGTTCCAATCATCTCATGTGATTTCACGCGGCTTTTAACCAAGAATGTACAGATTCTTCCCACGGGCAGTTCAGAACCAGAATATCTCTCATATCTCCAATCCTAGTCTATCCTACGTTTCTCACTGAACAAGAGAAAGTAGGGAAGTCAGAGGGAATGAAAGAGGCTCAGGAGGTTGAGCGGGTTGGCCGTTAATCGGAAGGTTGGCGGTTCAATCCCGGCTCCTCCAAGCTGCATGTCGAAGTGTCCTTGGGCAAGATACTGAACCCCGAATTGCCCCTGGTGGCTGTTCCGCCAATGTATGAATGTTAGTTTCTGTTTGAGCACTTAGGTAGTGCAAAAGCGCTTTGAGTGATTGAAAAGACGAAAAAAGGTGCTATACAAGTACGGAGCATTTACATTTGTTATCTCTCCAGTTTGATGTGAAACTGAAAGTAGCCTAAATATTGTTGAAATATTTGATTTGACAGTCAGTTGTTGACTAAAACACACGTTGATGCAACTATACATTATGGTACTGAATAATAACCCAATGATGTTATGATGTTCCGGACCCTTGCTTGGGGAAATTTTCTCTAACTGGACCTCTGAATTTTTAATTGAAGACCGCGGCACTAAAGCTTACCAAGGGCGTTAAAAAGCGACGCCAAGGAGTCTTGACAGAGCATCCATATATGACGCCCTAGGATGAGAACGGGTTGGACACGCATGACGGTCTGAATCTGAATATCGCCTGTATTGCAACGTGTTTCAAATGAGTTGCTGCATTTGTTTCTCCCTGGAACTGAAATTTAGGTGCAGGAACTCAGAACTCATGACAAAGGCTACAACTTAAATTACGGATTTCTGAGTGCCTCTAGTGGAAAAAACCACAAAAGAGTTCATGAAAAAATATTTGGTCATGATGAACATTGTTACTTTGAAACTGTAGCTGGACTTGTTCATCAATAATGGCAGACAGAAAGAGAAGATGGGAACAAGGCATCAATATGTTTTGGGGGGGGGGTTCCATGGAGTATTGTTTTTATTTGATTCATGACACTAAAGCTTATTTTGAATTTGAATTTGAGAGCAGGAGAGGGACTGAGTGGGAGAGAAAAGAGGGAAAGAGACCTAGAGAGAGAGAGAGAGACAGAGAGACAGAGAGAGACAGAGAGAGACAGAGAGAGACAGAGACAGAGAGAGAGAGAGAGAGAGAGAGAGAGAGAGAGAGACAGAGAGAGACAGAGAGAGAGAGAGACAGAGAGAGAGAGAGAGAGAGAGAGGATAAAGTGGGCAGAAGCAACAATGGGAGCTGATGTGTTCGGTATCTCGTGGGACGGCTCTAATCTGCATTAGACCTATATTACATGCCTGAGCTGCCGGTGGGCTCGTCATACAGCAGAGGGTTTTACTGTATGTGGAAAGGAAAAGACAATAGAATAAAGAATAAGGTGGAGAGAGAAGAGGAATGAAGAGAAAGGCGGAGAGACGGGCGGGGGGATATGAGATGCTTTCAGGGTCTCATGGGACAGAGCTAATTTACATTAGACCTAGCCAAGTTCAGACTGGGAGGGAGAGAGAGACAGAGAGAAAGAAGAGGAGGAGGGTGGTGGAAGGCAGAAGAAGAAAATGTAATTGGAAGATAGACAGACAGAGATAGATAGAGATAGATAGATACCTGTAGGAGATCTTTTTATCTCTCCATTTCTGTCCCGTCAGGGCGTAGCGTTTATTCCTCTGCCGGCGGCTTGTGTGAGGGTGATCTGGGACGCCGCAGCGAGGTCTCCTCATCCACCTGAACACAACATGACATTTAAATTACATTATCAATACTGGGTGAAACCTGATTTATCTGATCTGATTTCCTGGTTTCACTGCCAACAATCTCTGTTTTTCTGTTCATGAACATTTGCTGGACTAATTTCAGTCTAAATTCGCTAAGAGTTCTTTGCTTTGGCTTAGCTTCACTAAACAAGTTAGGAGGTTTGGTGGAGGTGTTTAGTCAAATCTGAGTCGATAACACTGAAACAATCCCCAACCCTAGTTTAACTCCTTTCTTCCATACCACTCTGGTTTAGCCATTTATTTACATTAGGGCTAAAACGATTTATCGAGAAATTCTTTGCATTGCTGCTTCTTTAATCCAAACATCTATATACAGCACACTGTTTCATATGGACAGTTATTACTGTTGCACAACGCGCTTACGTTGTGGACAAGTGAAGACGATGTGATTTGATGCTGCTGTTTGCAAAGTGGAGGAAGAGACAGTAGAGACAGAAAGTGTCCAAATTATGGGGTTATTTCAAGCTAAAAGAAAACAACAGCTCTGTACAATGTGTCTGCTGTAAAACACTTCAGCATCTGAGCAGAAAGCAGTCGAGCATCGAGTCCACGGAGAGGACCCAAAACAAGGTAACAGTAACGGCAGGCAACGTTAGCAATTCACATAAAGCAGCTACAGAATTTAAACAACAACAAGGACGATGGCTGTTTTTAGAGCATTATGTTAAAAATCCTGTTTAGACCATCAGCGACACAAACAACTAGTTCAGCCAAGAAGCTGCTGAGACTAAATATGTCAGGCCAATTAGAGTCCATTTATCCTCAGTTATAGATAATCTGCATGGCCTTTAATCACACCTGTGGTCTCAAAACGTTTCACAAAGACCGTGACGTGATGTTACTGAATCTGAGATTCACAGAATTGTTTCCAGCTTGCACACTGAAGGACGGGCATCCCGTTTAAATTTACAGCAGTAACGATCAGTAGTTTTGGATGGATCAAATGTGTAATGTGAAAGGAGTCGATTTTAGTGACAAACCCACAGAGAGTTATCACCTGACTCTGCAGTATCCCTGAGCTCTAAACAGCTTCATGGCGCTTTACTGTTTTGGCTCAATCTCACTGCTCACATAGCATCGTTTTCGGCAGCAGCAGGCAGCTGTGTTCAGCTAAAAAAGCTCTTTTAAACATATTGCACACTAACAGCGCAGCACCAAACAGCAGACAGGCCGCTCCAACACACTGTAGCAAAGTGTAATTTACAACAAACCCATCGCCAGACAAGAAAATCGCTATTGGACAATGGATTACGTTTAATGACACCTGGTCTAACTTTTCAGAAAATTAAACCTTGTGTCTTTTTTGGATTTGGGTCATTTTCTCTCCCTTTTCTCTAAGATATGTTTTTGTTCTGAGTCACACATTCTGCCGGGAACATTATCACCTGGATTCTAACGACTGGATCTAAACTAGGCTCGTGACTCACTCTATAGTCGTCTCGTCCAGTATTCCCGTCACAGGAATGCCATAGAAGCGCTGCATGGCGGCCACGGCGGACTGCATGGCCTTCTCCTGCCGCAGGTCTGACGTGCGGACATCGTGAGGCAGCAGGTAGCCGTAGTTCTTCAGCCACGTCTGGAAGAGAGAGAAGTGGTGCAAATCAGTACAATGCAATTTGACACAGAGCAAAGTGGCAACACACTAACACAAACCAGACCCTAAATACGTCAGTTATGTTTAGTTAAACTAAAGAAAATGTTTTATGAGCAGTAGCTTTTGGATTTCTTCGACTAATTGATTAGAGCAGAAATTTTTTTTTTTTAATTGTTTCTCCAGTTTCATCGTCTGCAGCCACGCAGGAGGATCTCTTCAAATATTAAAGATGTAAGCATGTTTGAAAATGTTTGTGATGGTAAGTCATTCCATTAGTGACTAATAGCATACTCTCCAAGAAAAAAGAACAATGAGACTAATTATCTAAGAGGGGAATCCAATTCTATCAGCAGAAATTAAATATGAAACATATTGATGCGTTGTATAATCAGTACTGAGTCTGTTGTTATTTTGATATTTGGTTCATTTGTCCATCATCAGCCGACGACTCTCTCTTTCCTGTTGATGAGGTCCGACTTTCTGTAGGTGACCCCTTAGTTTGGACAATATTTCTGCTCCCAATAACTACCTGGGATTTATTCTCTTTCCTAAAACCCTCCCCCCCCAAAAAAACCCAGTGTTTACAACCACAGACTTCCTGGAACTGCTTACAGGGCGAGGCGTCCTTGTGTTACATCAATAAGAAATCTCCTTTCAGACGTGAATCTCTTTAGATAAATGTGGTGGCAAAGTTACATGTCTCATGTCTGAATACACGTCTGTGTCGGATTAATCTGAGTGTTGCAGCAGCTGCACACAGAGAGATTAAATGCACGTCTTGTTCACCTTATTAAGGTCACTGTAATCCATTTCTCATGTAAACACAATCTTTTATACAAGTAAAAACACGAATGAGCCAATTCAACAGGGAGAATCTTCTCTCCCCACACAGTTTGGTTCAAAAGAGAATAAAAGCACAATAATAATCTGACCAGCTGTAATGTTTTGTCACTCTGTACCTGGGCAGCGTTATCTACCTAATGAATCAGGAAACTTGTAGAAATTGTATTTAGGGATTTACTGTGAGAGGCTGGGGTGAGCGTTACTCATGATGGCTTTAATGGTAAAACAAACGTGTCTTCATAACATTAAATCTTTCAACAGTCCGATGTTCTGCAGCATTCATGTCGTGCTTGTGAACCATTGTGGCAAATATAGGGCGAGCAAAAAGTAGCCAAAGTCCACTATGTGTGAGTGAAATCACTTTAACTGCTCGATGAAGCTGGCAGTGCAGCATAATCCACGTCTGAAAGGGGCTCAAAAGAACAGACATTTTGTGACTTTACAGCAGAGGGTGAGACGCACTGGTTTGTCCTGCTCACCAACATGTCAGCAGCTGCAGTGACACACAGCTCATGGAGGATATGGAGGTACTTTGAAACCCTTGGCAACCGATTGCTGCAATTTGCGTCAAAATTCGTACTCCTTTCTCTGAGTCATAATCACACAGTGTCAGACTCTGACAAACCTGCTGTACAGTACAGAAAACGCAACCCACTGGTCCGTCGACAACATCCTGAAATAAAGAGCAAGTCTTCACCCAGCGCATTTAGCTTTTCACATTCAGTTTCTGTCTTTAGTGGAGTTCTCCTCTGATGTGCCAAAGCAGAACAAGGAAAAGGAGGGAATCAAGGGTGGGGTGAGAAACTGAAAGAGGAAAAAAAATACATAAATACAGACTCTGGCTGAGGGAAGAGAAAGAGGACACTGAGAGATTTATCGAATATGTCAGAGAGAAACTGAGAGAAAGAGATGAAAGGATGTGGAGAGAGCGATTCCGCCCGAAACGTTCACAGAAAATTTAATTCACACTGATCCAAAATCAATGCTGAATCCACAAGTTTGCTCGGATGCTTCTTATTGTGTCGTATTTTCACTTTTGCAGTGCGCCTGTCACTTTAATATGACATAACACGATCTCACAACCCCTCCTGAGAGAGAGAGGGAGGAAGATGAAGAAGGGAATGGAGAGAGAGAGAGAGAGAGAGAGAGAGAGAGAGAGAGAGAGAGAGAGAGAGAGAGAGAGAGAGAGAGAGAGAGAGAGAGAGAGATAACCAAAAAGCAGGGAAGAAAGGAAGAAAAAGAGAGAGAGAGGGCAACAGAGAGGCAGGGAGGGAAAGGGGAAGGAGGGTGGGGAGAGATAACGAGGGGGAGGTTGAGCCCTTCTCCACAGTAGGTCATTAATATTTCAAAGTGTGTGCCAGCCTCTCCCAGCTCGTCCAAGCCCAGCAACCAGCAACCAGCTACAACATGAACGTCTGCCTAAGTACCATGACGGACGCAGGGAGGTTACCAGCGCTGAAGGATTCAGTCTGGCACTTTCTCCCCCCCCGGGAGAGGAAAATACTCCCTGTCAACATAAACTTTCACATGTTTTCCTCCTAAAATCATGTCAAAAAGGAAAAAAGGCACAATTACGTACCAATAAAACATTCAACCGGGCACTATTAAAGTCTGCCAACAACATTTGATATTTAAGGAGGGATCTGTTTTCTTTTTGTTGCTGTTCATAAAATATCTAAAGAGCTCCGTTCTCTCAAATTAATTTAAAAAGCCCAAATTAAATGACAAAAAACGTCATTTTTAACTTCCGCCTCCGTCAGCAGGAGTGCGTGCTTTCCAAATAAATACGTTTTATGATCTGACAAGGCTATGGTTAAGGTTTGGTTAGGGTTCAGGCACAAAATCAGCTTGGAGTGGGTTTGGGTTATAAAACAGAATTGGAAACATTCCTACGACTTAAAACTGATGCCGTCTTGACAACTCTTGTGTCTGGTTGTGTGAATACAGACTCTTCCAGAAAACTAACAGTATGGACGGCTGTCAGCACGTTGACATTGCCTTTGCTATGCTACTATAAGTTGCAAGACATGAGGTCGGGCTCGATGGCTGGGCGCACACATTTTCGACAGTTATTAAAACAATGACTTCTTCTAACAATGACCACAAACTTTCCCTAATCTTAATGAAGTACTTCCATTTGCCGAAACTTAACAAAACCCAAACCAAAGAGGTAGCAAATTTGAAAAAATGCTGTTGTTTAGGTGTGAGAACTGCATCTTTTTTCATCGTTGAAGTGCTCTATGTGTCTGATTTGTTATTTTCTGTGACCTATCTTGACCGGTTGTTGTGATGTGTTGTGATTTTTTTCCTAAAGATAAATCTGGGTTGCAGGCAGAATTAATAAGCCGCCATCACTGCGGTTGCACTTTACTCATAAACCCACCTACCCACTGTGTAAATGTATGCAAAGCGCTTTTGCCAAGAAATCTGTCCAAGAGATCCTGTGGAACCTTTTCACATGTTGAAAATATATTTACCAGAATCTAAAACACAAACAGATCTATGTCTTCTGCTCCAACAACAAACTGACACTGTGATGGGAAGAAAGAAGCCTCTCACAAGCCTCTGCTCCGTGAAATCAATTTTACTTTCATAAATCGCAATCAAATCCTAACGTTCATTCTGAGCAGCATGCCGACAAGAAAGATCTGCCCAAACGGTGATTTTTATTAAATTATGCATTTATTTTGATTATAAGAAATCATAGAGTTTGATGGTTAAACTCATAAACCAGCAAGTAATCATATAACTAGCTACTTCACGCAACACTTTCACACCCAAACTGTGGTGGTTGGACAGAAGCGGCAACGTTATGACTTATTTCTTCCTAAAAGGTTGTCATGATAAATTTCACACTAGTGCTCTGATACTGAATGACTTCCACACTCACACAGACGACCATTGTCTGTCTGACTGAACAACCTCACTCACAGACTGTGCAGATGTAACTTGAATTGTTTTTGTTTACCGCCAGTCAACATCATCTGTAAACTCCACTGTACCGACTGATTACAGTCTTGATGCTCAGCACATTTGTTTGGATCCAGGTAGCCGCTGAAAAGATGAGAAGCTCTGTGGTGAAAGCTCTTCGAGTGCCGGCCTCCAACTCCAGTGTTTAGTGAATTTATTCAGATTGTGATCCTAATCCGCTTTTAATCCTTAGTGTAAATGTGAACACAACGTGCCACATGGTCCGAGAGCCGAAAAGAAACCGACTTGCTTACAATCCAATTAAAATTCTGTGGTGATGAAAAGTTCTCTAACAAAGCGTCTCAATCTGATTCCTGTAATTGAATCCTGTTCTATCCAGGCACTGATAAAAAAAAAGAAAAAAAACAGAGCTCCAGGCGAGAATCAACAAAACAATTTCATTTCAACTGTCAAGATACAATAAAAAGAGAGAAATAATGGCCACACAGTTACTAGACAATGTGGACTAAAGACGTGTGGAGATTTCATCAAGCAATAAATTAGCTTTATGCTCATATTGTGAATTTTTGCACATTGCTTGTTAATATCCTGTATATTTTTATCATTTTCCCCCCATTATTATAGTATTATTTTTATTATTTTGTATACATTTTTGATATCTTTACTTTATCTTCTATATCTTTATTTTCTATATTTATGTTCTGTTAAGCACCAATATATACCTCGTATGTGAAAATGAATCTGGCAATAAACCTCATTCTGAATCTGATTCTGAGGTTAGGATATGACATTTTTCAGCCAGTTCCTTCATACCAAATCTTTAATAGATTTTTACAAAGTTGCCAAAAAAGGTTTTGACAGAGAACTGGAGCCTAAAGAAGTCCTGATCTATTTGTTTCACAGAGCACTCCCTGCATGAAGTCTCTAAGGACCTCGACACTGCAATAGTCAGTACGTCTGTGTCTCTGAATGTGTGTGCGTGCTCATGTGTGGCTGTGTATATATGTGCAAGTGTGTGCGTAAGCGTGTCTTGGTGCTTTGTGCGCATCCTCGCCCCCCTTGGTGTTTGCCAATGTTTTAGGGTGTTCATGTGTGTGTGCGTGTGTCCCTGTGCACTATTACTGACGAGTGGGGCAGCTGCTGCTGGCTCAGAGGAAGCAGTTTGAATTAAATAATTCACCAGCTGCTATTATACAACAATTACTACA